CCCACAGCTCCAGGTGAAGCGGACCAGGTCCGCTTTTTTCAGGTTGGAACTGGGGTTTGAACCAGGGGTGCAAGCGAAACGCTTGCCAGCGAGTATTTACTTCTCGTTTGTGGCATGGTCAAGCTCTTCTATGGACGAACAAAAATGCAAACTATAACGAAGAGAGAAAGACCACGATGAAGAGAACAGTTTGAGAACACTGACAAAAAACCAGCTGACGCAATCCTGATGCCGTGACTGTGTTGAAAATGCTGGCAAAAATAGATGTTGCGTTTCATTCCCTGCGCTCAGCAAACGAAAAATAACACTTTCTTAAAACATAGACACAGTTTCAGCAACTTGCATTACTTACGGCACCTTTGCGGAGAGCATCTTTGGGAAAGGGCCACCTGGCACGAGGAAAGCATAGATGCATTGAATGGGATTTTCGGTCTTTGACCACTTTCCACGTGGGTTGATCTACTCACCTCTTTAGGAACTGGATCTGCTCCTTAGATCTTTGCAGGTTGGTGCCGTTCCTACGGATGCTGAAAACTAAATCTAATTGAGTCTTAATCGAACCGTACATTTTTTAAATGACGATCATCCCTGAAGTGTGTTGTACGAACACTTCTTCGTATCCTTCCTTTCACACATCGTACTTCATCCGTTCTCTTTATTCCTTTTTTTCCTTTTCTCCATGCACAAGATTTCTAACCATTATCACATGTAGAATATAGTAACTTTAAGAGAGCGTGTCTGAGAAAACGCTGAAACGCAGAAACGCTGGGCTGCGTCATCTCTCCAGCTTCGATCAACTTGTGCAAGCAGGTTTCCTTTGGGTTCTACAACAACCATGCGAAAGCGCTCGTTGCATAACTTACAGACACCTAGGAACTGGGTACTACCTCGAAATGGGCCTAAAATACGACTGAATATCGGGTCCAAAATGAGCGCTGTGCAGCATACACAATGGAGCTAAGAACAAACAACCACAATGCCACCATTACTTCATTTGAGTAGTCTTCACATCACCTCCGCATAGAGCAATGGCTACATGTAGGAAAGCAACTGCCACCTCTTTTTCTCTTTCTCTCTCTCTCTCCCTCTCTCTCTCTCTCTCTCTCTCTCTCTCTCTCTCTCTCTCTCTCTCTCTCTCTCTCTCTCTCTCTCTCTCTCTCTCTCTCTCTCTCTATCTATCTATCTCTCTCTCTCTCTCTCTCTCTCTCTCTCTCTCTTTCTCTCACCCACTCTTTTCTTTCCGGTTGCCGTGCTTGTGACATTTTTTCCCTGCTGCCGTGCTCATAATTATTAGTTATCTAACTTATTTTCTTCTCTGTTCTGTTTTTCCGCTCATTTTTATATATTCTTCTTTTCTCTTATTATCAGTGGGACCATTGTCATTAGGTTTAGGCCTGTTTTGGAACTCCACTCTAAATAAAGCCAAACAACAACAACACCATACCAACATATCACTAAGTTGCTTCGCTAAAATAGCCAGATTTTAGCGGCCATAGTGAGAACCATTAATTTTACAGGGTGTATTTTTCTGAACTGCAGGACAATGAACTATCTCCAATACCACCCTGGACATGTCTCGTAAAAGGTTTTCTACGTTTTTTGGAAATACAAAAATTGGAATATTTTCACTTCACCACATTGAAACACTGCCAATTTCCTACCTGACGACGGAAAGCGCCTCCTCAAGCTCCAACACCGGGCACCGCTCCAGACGCCAGCACACCAAACACTGCAGCTTGGTCACCTCTACGGAATCTGGCAAGAAATTTGAACTGACAACCCTTGTCACTTCAAACAACAACCATTTCCTTCTCTGAATTTAGCGAATCGAATTTCACTAGCAGGAAAGCCCTGCAAAAGTGCAACAAATGAGCCAGTAACTATAGAAACCGCCCTACGATGTTTGATATCAAAATCAAGTTTAATATGACGTTTCAAAGTCAAGCGACTCAAAGTTACGCAAAGCGCAGAACTCGCCACTTTTGTTTTGACAAGACTCAAGAGCTGTCCTCTTGTGAGGTATTCGGTGAAGACAATAGGATTCCGAGCGATTGTCGAGTAACTCAAGAGGCTCCACTCACTATGATTGATTAGAGAGGTTGTGCATAACGAAAATTCGTAAAGATCTTTCGGAATTGGAGCCGTCTGGAAGTGACGAAAATTCGTAAAGAAAATCTGTTCTGCTCAACGAAAAACGTAGTATGACCATGGTGATCCTTTCGAGTACTCTTTCCGCTGTTTGCGCAAGCAGCTCCAGAAGCTTCATCACTCTGTCGCGAATAGCTTTCTTCTTCACACCACCGAACTGAGTTGGGCTCAGGGAGTCGTATTTTCGTATTTTACGACTCCCTGGTTGGGCTCAAGTTTTCCAGCTCACAGGCAACGATCCCTATGGCTGGAGACCCTCGTCGAAACGGTTCGTCGTGAGAACGAAGCTGCCTGAGAAGGCCAGGTCCATCGCGAGATCAAAATCCTTCGCTGAGACATCGCAGGGGAAGACGAAGACGCCGAAGTGGCAGAATTCTGCTGAGGGGATTCAGCAGAATAATTTTGTCACAGGGCGAGCACTTACAGGACTTCCAGATGTGACAGAACTGACAGAACTAGCTGAGCGCTGTCCAGGTGACAGAGGATCGCTGAGAGAGCGGGAAAGAGATCCATCAGCTCCACAGGATGCCGAGTAGGAAGAACTCGCAGAACGACTTGAAAAGGACATGGCTAACAAATCTTGACACCACGGGCATCAATGCAACACAGCTACATGTATTCAGAAGCTTGCGAGAAAGAAGCGAAAGTTCAAAACGTAAGATCTTCAAGTTTCGCGTTCCTCCTCGCGAAAGTTCATTTCCTTTTTCGTTACTCGTGCCCAGACTACGTCTAAGTTACGAACTTTCGTTGTACACAACCTCTCTATTATGGCTACAACATCTAGTAGACGACGCAGCTCGATTCTGTGTGAAGTCCCTGAGACGAAGGCGCTTTAATCGGACGACGATAAATTTTTCGGATTCAGCGCTGGCACCCGCGAGTCGTCCACGAGCGAGTCCGACACCGATGCTGACAGCGACGGCGATGATATGCAACCTAAGAAGAAGACGTATGGAGTCACAGCAAGCTCGAGTGCTGCTAGTGTTGTGTCGAAAATGCCAAGCCCCGACAGCTCGGAAATTTCAAATGCGGAGAGCGACACCGACTACTCGGAATTGGATGACGAACCAGATGCCCCCGCACCTGAGCCACCGACGACTGGGCAGGTGAAGCGTGGTCCTGTCTTAAGACATACACGATGGGATTGAGAGAGGCTGTGGATGCAAGTCGAAGAATCATTGGAAAGTCATCCCAGAGCAGCAGCTGGAGGACTACATGTTTGAAGTCTCTAAACTGCGACAATCGATAAATGCTTCAAGCAGTTTGTTCTGGGCGCACTGACTAGAAGCATGCGAAAGTCGATAACTGGTGGTGGTGATCGACCTTTCTATTTCTGCTATCATGAACGTGGTTACGAGTTGTGCAAAGACGTGTTCATGGCAGTTCATGCTGTTGGAAGTCATGTCATGAAGCGCCTTCAAAAAAAGGCAAACAAAGGAGTCGTTCAACTGGAACACCCTGGCTTGACTGGGAGAACACCAGAGCACTTAGCCATTTCAGCAGATATAGAGCAGGATGTAGTGCAGTTTTTTATTCATACGGTAACATGTACGGTCTACCTCAACCTGCAGCGGAGCGAGATCGTGCTGAGGACCCTCCAGTATACGTACCAGCATCCAAGAACAAGAAGTCTGCATACAACATCTATACCAAGACCGTCACAAAGTATTCGCCTGTTCATTACAGGTCATTTTGTCACATTTGGAGGAGACAGGCAGCACACATCAAAGTCATGAAGCCAAGGACAGACGTATGCGCACTGTGTGACAAGTTGCGGGACAAAATTCGTGTCGCCCATACAGAGGAAGAGACGGAATGTAGTGTCCAGGCCCTGCGTTCGCACATATCACTAGCACAAGAGGAGCGGTAGGACTACTGAGATTTAGTGGACGGCACGCAGGCGTCACTGGATGAAGCTGAGGGCATAGTTCACTATACATTTGAACTGCCTAACTAGCAAGAATGAGGATATACAAAGAACATCACAAACTGTATACATAATTATAATTGCTCTATATCGCTCAATTGATATGCCATTGTTAAATAGGTGGCTAGGCACATTTACCATCGCAGATCAACTTGAAATTTAGTTTTAGCACATTACCATACCATACAAACCTTTTGAGAGAAACAAATTTCGCCAAAAGTGCTATAGGGTGGTTTCTGTAGTCCCTGGCTCAAATATTGAGCAATTCTCGATTTTTGCAGTCGAAGCACGATATTTTTGAGTCCTTAGACTCTTGAAACTGGCCGTGCGCCGACCACCGCGTGACATAGCAGATCGACGAATTTGATCGAGTTGATCGACAATCAAGGTCAGAATCAAAATCTGGACAACGAAGGCTGGATGAACAGCGGTACTGGCCAAGTATGAGTGACTGGAATGTGTTTCCCGTGTGCAAAAAAAAAAGAACATGCACACGCACACCACAATATTATTTGTTTGTAAGCACATGGCCATGAAAACCAGCAGAACGGAGCTCCTTATTCCATGATTTTCTCTCCATTTTTGCGAGATAGTGGTGGTGTTCGTATTTGCCAACACGCGCGTGAGCGGTAGTTAACCTTGACTTGTCTCTGAACAACTGACAACAGTGGTGTCAAATACCTGTCATTTGGTTGCAACAGCTGGCTTCTCTAGTCTATTTCTAGACTTTTGAATTCCAGTCTTACTGTCAACTTTAGTATCTGCTGTGAGATACCATCCAGGTACTTCGAAGTACGTGTATGCGAGGATAGGTCTGGCAGCCGGCATCCCATCCCTGCAACACTCTACAGAACGTGAGTGCTCATGCCCAATGTGCGAAACACATTCCAAAGTGGTTGACTCATTGCGCGACTGGTGCTGATCGCATTGGAACGAGATGTCCTGAAGTAGAATTAAATTTGCAAAGATCCAGGTAGTACTTGCTAGCAGCGGCGAGTATCCAGTATCAGCTTGTTTGCGTATATTGTGTGCACAATGGAAAGGAGACGCAAAGCCATTGGAGTGCTTACGGGTTTTAGAGGTGAGTTATCTATTCATATGGGTGTGACTACTTCGAAGTAGATGACTTGTTGGCTATCGTTGCACAACTGATGGGCATGGAGTGTGGAAGTGTACGCTGATTTTTGAAAACGTGGCTACTCTGACGTTACCACAATACTATGGGATATATTTAGGAGAGGATTTATGCCGAAGGATATCTAACACCATGTGAACACGCGAGCCTACATGTACATTAGGTGAATGGACATATTTTTTTATGATATATGAAAAATTAGTTCTCGCTCCACATATACTGGCACACACAGAGACATAGACAGCAAGAGCGACAACACACAAAGAGAAGGGTGCCTGGCCGCAGCCAGATGTGAACCGGAAAACGAGGGAGGTATGGAAGCAAGGACTGAGAACAGAGGGTCTAAGATACAATAGGCGTGCCAGTGGATAGCAGAAATAGGCCATGATGCAGAACAATTTGGAACCGTCAGATAAATTTTCCTGGACCGGGCCAGACGGGAAAAAACCCTAGCGCCGACGTACGCAGTTGTGAGGGCAAAAACCGGGTTTATATCCCCAATGACTATTACGCATCATGTAGGCATGGCAAGCACATCACGGCAAAAAAAGTGATAAAAAGCAAGGATAATATGCACAGGACTGAAGTGTAGGAGGGCAAGGACTCTGGTAAGACCCAAAACTGACTGAAGAAACCATGCGAAAGTGCTCGTTGCATAAGTTACAGACACCTAGGAACTGGAGACCACCTCGAAATGGGCCCAAAATACGACTGAATATTGGGTCCAAGAACGAGCGCTAGTAAGGCGTACACGAGTGAGGTGAGAACAAACCACCATCATGCGAACATTAACTCGCCTGAGTAGTCTTTACATCAACACCACTTAGAGCCATGGCTACATCTAGGAGGGCAATGGCCATCATCTCCAAATATCACTAAATAGCTTCGCTAAAATAGCCAGATTTCAACGGCCACATCGGGAACAATTTGCGGCGCATATTTTCTGAACAATGCATTGCGGGACAGTGGACTATCTCCACTACCTATCAGGACATGTCTCGTAAAAGTTTTCCACGTTTCCTTGAAACCATTTCCTTCCCTGAATTTAAGTTGAATTATTTAACGAATCGAGTTTCACTAGCAGGAAAGCCCTGCAGAAGTGCAACAAATATCGAGCAAATCTCGATTGTTGCGTCCTCATACTCTTAAAACTGGCCGTGCGCCAACCATTGCGTGACATAGCAGATCGACGGATTTGATCGAGTTGATCGACAATCAAGATCAGAATCAAAATCTGGACGACGACTGCTGGATGAACAGCGGTACTGGCCGAGTATGAGTGACTGGAACGTGTTTCCCGTGTGCACCAAAGCCAAAGAACATGCACACGCACACCACAATATTATTTTGATCTACTAACTGAGTTGCTCTTTCCGTTGTCCTTGTATTTATGAAACACACGCAAGGTTCGTGAGCCAATGAACGCAGTGGATTCCGTTCCTGCCAGTTGTCACTTGAAGACGGGCAGTGGATCTAGTTCCATCACCTGTGATCAGGCAGGACCGCGCTTTCCAGCCCGCGATTTGTCATTGGTCGACTCCAAGGCGACAATCACATACCGAAAATACAAAGCTTTCACAATTGTAAGCACATGCCCATGAAAACCAGCAGAACGGAGCTCCATATTCCATGATTTTCTCTCCATTTTTTCGAGATAGTGGTGGTGTTCGTATTTGACAACACGCGCGTGAGCGGTAGTTAACCTTGACTTGTCTCTGAACAACTGACAACAGTGATGTCAAAATACCTGTCATTTGGTTGCACCAGCTGGCTTCTCTAGTCTATTTCTAGACTTTTGAATTCCAGTCTTACTGTCAACTTTAGTATCTGCTGTGAGATACCATCCAGGTACATGTATGTGAGGATAATTCTGGCAACATCCCATCCCTGCAACACTCTACAGAACGTGAGTGCTCATGCCCAATGCGCTTAACACCGGCGTCTAAAGTGGTTGACCCATTGCGCCACTGGTGCTGATCGCATTGGAACGAGATGTCCTGAAGTAGAATTAAATTTACAAAAAAACAGGTTGTACTTGCTAGCAGCGGCGAGTATCCACTATCAGCTTGTTTGCGTATATTGTGTGCACAATGGAAAGGAGACGCAAAGCCATTGGAGTGCTTACGGATTTTAGATGTGACTTATTAATTTATATGGGTGTGACTACTTCGAAGTAGATGACTTGTTGGCTATCGTTGCACAACTGATGGGCATGGAGTGTGGAGGTGTACGCTGCTTTTTGAAAACTTGGCTATTCTGACGTTACCACACTACTATGGGATGTGTTTAGGAGAGGATGTACGCCGCAGGATATCTGACACCATGTGAACACGCGAGCCTACATGTACGTTAGGTGAATGGACATAATTTTTACGAGATATAATAAAAATTGGTTCTCGCTCCACATATACTGGCACACACAGAGACATAGACAGCAATAGCGACAACACACAAAGAGAAGGGTAGCTGGCCGCAGCCAGATGTGAACCGGATAACGAGTGAGGTATGGAAGCAAGGACTTCACAGGAGGTCCCACCCTGCTAGTCTCTGGTGAAGTAATGCCTTGTACATATTTCTGGCCCTGATACTGGCTCTTCCTGGATAGTGGTGGTTTTGCACCCCTTGCACTAGTGAACTGTTACTACTACTGTTGTTGCTAGCGCCTGCAATTACATGTCTGCACGCACCTAGTGCACATGTACATTCTGTTTGTTGCCTGTACCTGTGCCATATTTAGAGTTTTCGCGTATTGCGTTATTTCTATACCTGTTTTTTTGGTGATGTTTTGTCCTTTGGTTCTCTCCCTCGTCATAGTGCATGCAGGTGTGATTTGTTATCAGTTCGCAGCGCTCCTCATTTATTAACCCATCCTAACCGGTGTGCCCACTTCATTCCTGATGATGGTTATTTCATGACCGAAACGTTGAAATATAATATTTTTCTGGTGAAAAGCAGTGATTTGAGTATGAGCCAGTGTTGCTCGCAACCCATTTTTACTTATGAAGCTGCGTGATGCGTCCTACAATATTTTAAATTTGTTTTGTTTGTTTCTTTTATTTGAATTCGTCTAGAGCACAGGCGATCCTGCCATCTCACCAGAGGCAAAACCTCCGGTTCCTGCTAGGAATGAAAAAAATATTATAAGAGAAGGAAATGTTTCTTCAGAATTCCCAACCTCCATTGCAGCGTATTCCTTGCACTTGAAAACACCGCCATTCCGGCAACAGGCTCTCAGCCCTCAATGCCCTGATGATGCCCAATGGGCGAAATATTGGCAAAGTTATTTATTTGGTGCAGCTGAGAGCCTGTTGCCGGAATACCGGTGTTTTCAAGTGCAAAGAGAAGGAAATATTAAAAATAATCATAACATGATAATGCAAAAGCACTATGTCTGTATATAATTCAAATGGGTGTGTGTATGTGTATGCATGAAGTGCAGAACACACAAAGAAAACATGAAGTAATGTATAGGCAAGGAAGGAGCGCGATTAACACTGGTTACAAATTACAATTTATTCTGTTCAGAGCCAGTTGAAGGGCAAAAGCCGCACTGTGGAGGCGAATATCACTGGGAAGGGCACTCCCAAGAGTGCTTCCAACAAATGTTAATGACTGACCACTGGAATGTCCAGGAAGGAAAGGCACTTGTAGTAGCCGCTGTTCCTGTCCTCGAGTAATTCGGCGATCATCCTGGGATGCTTGGCCTGCATTAGCCGTCAACTGAAAGTATGTGCAGAAAAGAGGTCTTGCCAGATCATGTAGGCAACGGAAAACAGAAAAACAAAACCATGTAGTGAAAAATGTGAGTTAGGGATTGATTAGAAAAGCTCACGAGGAGGGGGGGGCTGTGGATGCACGGCTGGAGAGTTGGAAAATTGCACGAATTCCGGATTTGCTGGATTTCATTAAACGATTCTGCAGCTGCTGTTTCAGCGAAGGGAAGAATGCATTGGATGCGTACGTTAGTCGTGCTTGCAAAATGCCAATGTACCAAGGTCTGCGGGCTCTTATTGGCAGAGATCGCCCATTGCGCCATAGCTGGCTGATGGCGATTGACGTCTTCTGCACAACAATGGAGAAATGTGGCTGCCAGGATAGCTGGTCGTCAATGGTTACGCCAAGATATTTGGGAGTGGAGGTGACAGTTCAGGCTTGATCCTTACATTTCACGACTGGTATGTTGCCAGTGAGTCCCTGAGGTTGAATTACCATGACTTGGGTTTTGCCGGTATTCAGCAGAAGCCCAATTTCGGAGAGCCAGTAGGACAGCCGTAGTCAAAGTCTTGCAAACAGTGTCCAGATCTGAATCAGAATAATCTAGGATGATGTCGTCCGCGAACTCCTGATGAACAACAATGCAAGGTATGATGTCGGAAATGTCACTCGTATAAAGGACAAAGAGAAGCGGCCCAGGAGCACTGCCTTGGGGCACACCTCTTGAGCATGCGACTGCATCAGAGAGAGCCTCACACACCTTGACACGCTGAGAACGACCAGACAGATAGGTAGGTAGCCAACACTAATAATACTCTGCCATTGACTCCCTGGGAGAATAATTTATCAATCAGACGTTGATGGTGGATACGGTCAAACGCTTTTGACAACCATCACAATACCCGTGTATTTACGCTCTTGTTAGGCCAACAGCCAACGGTTGGCGGCTGGAACTAATGCATCTTCGGTAGAGTGCATTTCCCTGTAGGCAAACTGACTGCAAGGTAATATGCTATGTTGCGTGAGGTATGCTGTGAATTGCTTCTTTACAAAGAACTCCAATATCTGGGACAGAATAGGGAGCAAAGACAATGGTCTATAGCTAGTAGGGGATGTTGCATCGCCACTCTTGAACAGTGGACTAATGTGTGATGTTTTAAAACACACTGGCACAGTACCTGATGTCAAGGATGCATTGACTAGGGTGGTAAATGGATGTGCAAGGACGTCTGAACACTGCTGCAGTACAATTCCAGGAATCTTGTCACGCCCAGATGCTTTGTGAGGACTCACAGTTTGCAAGCATTGTGCAACATCAGACACGCTTACCGGCTGAAATGTTGAGAAGCTAGATGCAGAGGCTGGACCATGTGGTATATGCAGCTCAGGTGGCCGCATAGGGTCATGCACAATGTCTCTAAACAATTTACTGAGCGACTCAAGCGGCGCTTCAGGTTCTTTCCGTGTCTTCTGTCGGCCTGTGACATCGTTCATGACAGCCTGAAGTTGCCATTGATCTTATGTATCACATCTTTTAGTGAAGTACAATTTGCGCAGCAGACTCCTGTCCAACTTCCGTGCTTTGGAGCGAGCTGATCGGTGCGCTTCTTGAAGGTTTTGATTTGTTTTGTCTCGGAGCCAGAGACGATGTGCCCGGTTCCGTTCACGAACACTTGCCACTAACTCATCTGTAATCCAGAGGCAAGGGCGTCGAGATTTGCGGCGCCGTTCCCGAAGTGGAGCATGTTTGTCTAATGGTCTCCTCCAAGGCGCTTCTCGGCTCACGGTTGCGTAAAGTTACGAATTTGTTCGTGAAAATGAAGAAAGTTGTGAAAGTTGCGATTTCTTCCCAAAACAACCAAGAGTTGCGAAAAAAGTGGCGAGCATCCTTGGAAAAGGGCTATTTCCCACCCGTTCATACTCTCTAAAATAAGTGTCGGAATTCATGTTCGTGTTCACGTGACGGCAACACATATAGTATGGAATACTGAATGTTACTAATTACTGTTGAATGTTTCTATTCTCGGTTTATTAATTGCACAGCTTGCTGGCTCATGGCAGTATGTATCTGGTTGGAGAATCAAGGTGTGAAAGGTAATTATCTATTCATTTATTCTTTTACTATAATTCCAAATTCGTAATAAAAATAAATACCGTATTATCTCTAATATAAGCACAGTCTCCAATATTAACACGTCTCCAATAATAGAACACCTTGGGACGGCATTCAAAAAATATAGTACTCAGTCTTCATTATAAGCACACTGTGAAGTGCTCTGAAAACCACCCGGGCCTCCAATAAAGGACACCGTACGGTAGTATATGTACGCACACTGCATGTACATGACTGTATTGTATATGTACGCACACTGCATGTACATGACTGTATTGTATTGCGTTTATTTTACATCGCAAGTCAAACGGGCAATCATGCCAGCCATACTATTCCGCATGTGTTTTGATTTGCACCACAAGCATGATAGCCGTGAAGCCAATGAATATTCCAGGGTTGTAATCTTGCTGAAATGATCTACACTTTCTGCTTATGTCGAGCATGTTTTGGCATATTATGGCATATCTTTTTGCATATCTTGCTAAGCCTTTGGCATATTATGGACGTTTTCCCTGATATGCGACGAGCATAATATGCTCTTTTTTAGCATACTTGGTCGAGGCCTAATACTGTAACAGTGCCGGTATACCATTAAGTTGTCAGAAAATCAAAAACAAGATAAAGAAAGAGAATCGTTTGCAGGCAGGCTTTTCAACGTTTCGGTCTTCATGACCATCATTCTGATGATCATACTGATAATGGTCTTGAAGACCGAAACGTTGACACGATATTTCTAATGGATTTGTGTGAAATACAGTGCTCTGTTGAGTGCAGGCAGGTTGCCTGCAAACTATTCAAATGCAATTAAGCTGCATGAAGTATCCTTCAAACATTTTGATAAAGAATGAAATTGTTAATTATCAGTTTTTGGATTGATGTACCATGCATGCAAAACACAGCTGAGAACTCTGAGCCAGGCCAGGTACGCGAATTGGCGGGTCTGGCAAGCAACGAGCTACTGTTGTTGCTAGCGCCTGCAATTACATGTCTGGTATCTGTAGCCTTTCAGTCTGCTTGAATGAAAACGTTTTTTTTTGTGCGGGTGTTGCGACAGAAGCGTGTCGGGTATAGATTTCCATGCGCCAATACCGCAGTACAGGAACGACTGCTTCAAAACGGGTGGAGCGGACACAGGGGGGGGGGGGGGGGGGGTGGTCTGACAGTTGATAGGAGTGGCTACTGTAAATATACAAATTTTCGGCAGCTATTTAATTTCGGCTATATTCGGCACCGACCCAAAACGCCTGAATTAAACCGCCGATGAAATTTTTCACAGCATCTGTCGCACTATACCATGCCCTCTACCCAGTACCCCACGCCGAAAATAAATCGCCGCCGAAATGTCAAAAATCGTGAAGTGCCGAAATTTTGCAGCGCCGAAATTTTGTATATTTACAGTATTGGCATTACTGTGCAGGTTCCTACTTCTGAGATGGGCTGGAGAAACGCTATGCGGTGTGGCATTACAGCAAGTAGCTGAGGAGGACCAGTGATTAACATCATTTTTGTACATGAAGGAGAGAGCAGCAACAGTCCCGTGGACAGCCAGACTGGGGTGAGCTGCAGTCATTTGGACAGCTGGCGTTAGAATATGAGCTGCTCGTCGGAGAAAGCTAAGGTGCTCCTGGAGGCGGATGGTTAGGGTCCTGAGGTGACTAGCGAAGGACAATTTTGAGCCAAATCGAATTCAAATTCATGATAATACTGGTTTCCTCCAGTGCAGGGTGTCACCAAACAGGATTTAGGGCAGGTCCAGGTCAGTGCCTCGGAGGGTAGCAGTCATAGCCTGTTTTTGGAGAGTTCATCTTTTTGCTTCTTTTGGAAAGAAAAAAAAGAAGTCATAGCCTGTAACCTGGCGGGCTTGAACGTCACTTTCCACTGCTAACCCCACTCATGAAGGCGGCCTGTAGGTATCTGCAAGGTCAGTACAGCGTCCTGAGGCACTGAGCTGAGGATACTAAACTGTCTAGTGTTGTATTTTCCTCGGAGGCCTCAAGATTACCATTGCAAGCAAGAGCATCGGCAGCGTCATTCACATAATAATTATCATTAAGAGAGCATGTCTGAGAACACCAAAGCATGTGTGGAAATGGATCTCTCCGATTTCGCTCAAAATTTGTAGGTAGGTTCCCTTTGGGGAGTGAATCGATTGTGGAAAGCCCTTGACAAAGTTCCTGAAGGGAACCTTGAAATTTGTATACCCCTCAAAAATGGCCCAAATATCACATTTTTGATAGGTCTAGAAACGAGTCACGCCACAGCGTATACGAACAAGCTATGAACTAAACTCCATCAAGCCAACATTGCCTCACCTTAGAAGAGCAGTACCGCTTAGCTACGCCAGGATCCCAGAAGACGAGGTCCATCACCTCCTGACGCCACAAATGATCGTCTTGAAAATGGCCAATTTACAAGCGCTGGCAAAACATCCAGCTACGTCCTCAATTGGCCAGAACTATACACCGGCATATAGTAGAACACCTCTTCGGGCGCTGAGGACATGTCCCCCATCTTCCTTTTGGGGTTTTCTTGAAATAAACTTTTTCCAATTTTTCCACTCGACCATCCTGAAATACGGCCAAAGTCATACCTGCGCAGGAAAGCTCGCCCCTCCGCTACGTCTACTCAGCAACTTCTACTCCAACGCTACTCCCAAGGCCGCAGAACAAAGTGTATTGTTGGCTCTGACTAGGAAAAGTAGCGGTGATCACTTGTCACTCCAAACGACAAGATTCTCCTTGCGCCACCAATCATTTTTTTGTGCGACTTTTGATGCAAAAGTGACTGAAGGCATGAGCGCAATTCTTAAATTTTACTACAAGAGGCACGGTGAAATCACGTGCCTTGTGACGCAAGAATGCCCACTTGCCAAGTCGCGTGGATCACGGCTCACGAGATTTCAGAGTCACCTTCGTCAAGTGCGCTTGTTACTCGCCTTGAACGCCCGTTGGTCTGGAAGTGATCACACTTGTGTTGTTATTGCGCTCAAGAACACGGTGACCGTGTTGTAGGCCTATGAATCGGGACTTTCCCTGACCATGTAGGTCAAAGACCAGTGAAATGATTATGAAATCACATTCTTTATGGGGCTGTTAAGTGTGACGTCACGGCCCCTTCGATACGCATAGCAACGGAGAGCTCTGGGGACAAACAAAAGTCGCGTCCTCTGGATGGAACCAGTTGTGAAGGGCAACAGCATCTAAATGACTGGAGAGAGAACAGTTTTTCTTTGCTTTTTCGTCAAGCGATTGTTGTCGCTCTTTACTCCTTGTTCTTTCCTCTACAAATCTCCTGTAGTCGTCGAGGGCCTTCATAATGGCTGTGAAATTGGCTGCCCACTATAAAACTCCGTGTTTGAGAGTGCTTTGAAGATTCTTCGCCTCCTGATGGATCAAAGTACGAGCGCTCCCTGTGGATTCGATTATATGTAGGTGAGTTGTTCAAGAAATCAGTGTCTTCTTTCTGTCTCTGCCCTCACGCTGGCACAATATCAGCCTCTATATCCATGACAGCCCGCACCTCCCGTAGACTGCATGACTTAGCTGTATTCTCGCCCTCCGTGGTGATTGAAGACCCATGGAAGAAGTTGTTCAGAATGATGTCCTGAGAATATAAAATAAAATAATTCCAGGGAATTGTTACAGGGTATTTTGGAAGGATGGAGAGAGAGAGAGAGAGAGCACTGTTTGAAGTGTTTGTCTCACTGTAATTACTCCAGATTATTGAATGGTGTATGATCTACTCGATATTTTCCGCAATGGTTTTTCCTGATTTGCGGGATCTCTTCTTTTGCTGTTTGCGTGTTTACAGGAAGTGACTGTCTGATGTATCTGCACCAGATCCTGGGGAAATGAAGTCAGATGCAAAGGCAGGGTCGTCCAGTGATGCAACACTGCCGTTCTATGTGCAACGTCACCGCTAATTCCCCCGGCGAAAACACAAACACGTGAAGAGACTACAGTATTGACCGTTCTGGTAATGAATCGTGACTGCTCGGACAGTCGATAATCGAAACACAGAGCACCAGCATGATGTTTTCATATTGGGAACCGCACACCAGCTCAATTCTCAAGCCCAAAAATCGATTAATACAAAACACAGAGCGACGCAACAAGAGATCATCCGGCAACCAAACCAACCTGGGTCTGATGCACTGAATAGTCTTGAAATACGCAGGCCACACAAAGCAGTGCAAGCCCAGACTGTTACAATGTACATGCATTGCAGAACAAAGTGTAACCAAAGATACACAGGGTTATAGCTGCACACTCGTGCATGTGCTCGCTCAGCCCAAGAACACGCAGGATGATAGAAATAATCCGGGGGAAACACGCTAATGTCATGACCGGGGAGTGGGCCAGACATACTCTCAGGATTCTACAATTCCAGGTTCTTTACGGAAATATACCAGGAGTCCAGATACCCATTCCTCACCCTCACCACACAAGAAGACCAAAGCTTCACTCTAGGACCAAGCTCAAACAACAGAGAAGCAACAAGAACAACAACAACCAGCGATCGATGCAAAGCATCGAGCTATATACTACAAGACCTAGTAGCGTGCACGGCGCGGAGCGAGCAAGTAGCCAGCAAAGCATGAATAGGGATAGGTTTCACAACACTATTGATCGACAAGACACATCGCCGCCATGGCAAACACTTCATAAAGACACATGTATAAGCAGACGGAATACAATACAGATAATGACATTGTAGCAACACACGGACACGACACTAGCACCGAAGTAAGCATCAAGACGTAAATAGTGCAGCTCTGAAAAAGTAAAAACTACATTGACATGTACATTGGTGTGCCGAGTAGTATCATCCTTGATCACCCATCCAACCAAGACGTTATCAGGTCCGAGACGCCGAGATCCCACGCCGAATGTGAAGTGCATCTAGCCTTGAACCTGTTGGACAAGGCACACACATATGACAAAAAATGACATCCACTCCGATTATTTCCAGAGGCCAATCATAACAGAACACAGAAATGAAACCACGGGCTCAACAAAGTAAACGCAAAGGAAATTAGTTAAAATAATCCATGAAGTGCTATTTTAATTCCAGCGCTGACTGCAGTGTGGCGTCATGGCCCGATACCCGCTGAGCATAGACACAAACTCCATTTGACAGGGGCACGACATACTATTTTGGAATAAAGTCACAGGGGCGTAGCACCCGCTACGACTGGTACGACCATGGCCGCACCACTTTTCGAAAAGTGTGGTCCGTCTGGAACGTGCAAAACCGTAATAAAAAATCAGGATCCATCGATATTTGCATATGCGCATCAGACCTTTTTCTAGACTCGTAGATCTGTTATGCATCTGCAGTCGTACTGAGTACTGTACTCGACTCGACTGCACACTGCGCCAGAAGTTCCCAGAACGCAGGATTTTGTGTCTTTTTTACAAAATTTCCCCGGGGGGGGGGGGCCGGACCCCCTCCAACACGGCCTTCCGCCGCAACGACCTTCGGTCGTACCACTTCCAAAACCCCTTCTACGCCCCTGAGTTATAAAGTACAGCACTCCAATGACATGACGGACACCTCGTGCAAATGCGTGGTCTGTTCATCCGGCCAACTCGGCCACGCATGAGAGTGTGTGCATGTACGCGCGCACGCAAGCGCGCACGTGCACACACACCATGTATTCGGTGCGTATGGCGTACCTGTTGCGGAGATAATGAAGATGGAATCATTATCATGATGTTACATGTACATGTACAGTGTATGTTTGAGTGTAAAGTAAATTTTATTTTATTACACATTTCTTCGACACAACTTACTCCACATCTTCGCATTTCTCATAATCCATCCATCTACACTCCGTCTCAGTTGAGGAAAAATTCTCCCAGGTATGCACTAGTCACCACAGCCATGTGATGACATTGGGATGGGTCCCAAGCACGATTGCACTCTCCAGTTACAATATAATTTATTTGTCCAGATTATCTGTGAAGACAAAATGCAATGCATAGCGGCAATCGATGGATGAAGAGAGAGTTTGTAAATACACATATCTTTCCACTTGTTCAGGAGCTTACCTTTTGGAGTTCACATCGTTTACACGATCTCTTATGCAGTCTTGCACCTTGGCTTTGTTGACCATGGATACGCCATCCCAGAAGACATTCTACAGGAGCTACTAATGCAGAGCGTTTTTCACGCTCGATCTCGGCGATCTACCTCGTCACGCCAATAAAATCCTCCGTGACACTGCCTACAGTCACAAGAGACGTCTCAGTAAGGTAATGAGCACGACAACGCCGTCGAGATCAAGGACAAAGAGAAAACAAAACACTCACTGAAAACAGCAAAGAAGAAACGAAGAAATGTACACGATTCCTATATGTTGCCAATGACAACTGGTTCGGTGGAGACGACGCTACTTTTGTTTGTCCCCAGTGGGATCGTTGCTATGCGTATCGAAGGAACTGTGACGTCATCACTTAACAGCCCCATGACGTAAGAAATCTCTCATGCAGTTCACGCGACAAGTTCGTGTAGCCAATGCTGCTCGCGTGCCAGTCAACACAAAGCGACCGAGCTAGCAGCTTTTGTCGAGCATCGAAATGAAAACAAGGGACTTTTACTGTTGGACTATGTTTGGGATTGAAGGAGGTAAATGTGAAAGATGAATAACTCTCCATGCCCCATGCATATTTCAACGGCTTGCTGCCATTGCAACACTCCTACACTATAGGGCAGTTTGTGGGGGTTCTCAGCAGATCAAGCAGGAAATGCAGCTCATCTTACCTCTGCCGTCATGGTCTGTTCTGAATAGCGCTCCAGGCACGTTTGCGATCGATGGCTGCGTGTCGTGATCCAGGAAGCGTCATCCTACGTCACAGAGCACGCCATCTCACCGTGCATCTTGCAATAAAATTCAAAAACTGCGCTCAGGACTTCAGTCACTTTTGCATCAACAGTCGCACAAAAAACTATTGGTGGCGCAAGGAGAAGCTTTTCGTTTGAAGTGACAAGTGATCACCGCTGCTTTTCCTTGTCAGAGCCAACAATACACTTTGTTCTGGGACCTTGGGAGGAGTGTTCGAGTAGAAATTGCTGAGGAGACGTCGTTGAGGGGCGAGCTTTCCTGCGCAGGTATGACTTTGGCCGTATTTCAGCATGGTCGAGTGGAAAAATTGGAAAAAGTTTATTTCAAGAAAACCCCAAAAGGAAGATGGGGACATGTCCTCAGCGCTAGAAGAGGTGTTCTACTATCTGCCGGTGTATAGTTCTGGCCAATTGAGGACGTAGCTGGCTGTTTTGCCAGCGCTTGTAAATTGGCTATTTTCAAGACGAACATTTGTGGCGTCAGGGGGTGATGGACCTCGTCTTCTGGGATCCTGGCGTTGCTAAGCGTTACTGCTCCAGGAACTCTTCTAAGGTGAGGCAATGTTGGCTTGATGGAGTTTTGTTCGTAGCTTGTTCGTATACGCTGTGGCATGACTCGTTTCTAGACACATAAATAATGTGATATTTCGGCAATTTTTGAGGGGTATGCAAATTATAAGGTTCCCTTCAGAAACCCTTTCTAGGGCTTTGCACAATCGATCCACACCCCAATGAGAACCTACCTCCAAATTTGAGCGCAATCGGAGAGATCCACTTTCACACATACTTTGGTATTCTTAGACATGCTCTCTTAATAACACCAAAAAAATTTAAAAATGGAAAATATCATGTCCGTTTCTGAAGGGAACTTACCACGGCAACTAACACCCGGTAAACCCTAGGGGCGGATGCGGCTCTTAACGGTGGGGGTAAGTGGATAAGTCTCACAACCACTGGCACAAGTGGCGAGGAACCCCATTAGCCGCATCCATGTACCCCTTTGGCCTGGCCACAAGTTCCCAATTGGCTGGGGGGGGGGGGGGGTTAGCGGCACGCCTGTAAAACCGACCCGAGGCAGGACTTGAACCAGGTGCCTCTCCTATCTCAATCATGGTATTTGACCTACCACTGTGCCTGCCTGGTGAAATATTAGGACCCAAGATACTGCTCTGGGGCACCCCTGCAGAGATTGTGTAGCGAGAAGATTATCTGCCTGCGGACTAAGCACTGGCGTGCACAGCCGTCGAGATAGGACTATAAGAAGCTGTGGAGAGTGCCAGTAATGCCGAGCTAACGAACCTTGTAGAGGAGGCCCACGTGGGAGACTCGGCCAAAGGCCCCGGCTATATCAACTGCGAAAATTCACTCCGCGCCGCCGTGGCCAATGATGCCCACCCAGGCGTTAGTAAGGTTAAGCACGTATAGTGCGTATGCCATAGGGAGACCCTGCGAAAACCAAACTGGTGGGGAGTGAGAAGCTGCTGGCGCTCATTTAACGATTGACACTAGTTTCCATTGCTTTAGATAAACATATGGAAAACAACGAGACTGGGCGGTAGTTTTTCAGAAACGAGCGCAAGGACCGTTTGTGATTTGGAACCCTGTTACCTGTCTTCCAAGATTTTGATTGAAGTCCGCACCTGAAACAGAGAGCGAAATAGCTGGGACAAAGGCTTCGCAAGTTGATTTGCACACTACTTCAGGACTCGGGCTGAAATGCCGTCAGGACCAGTAACCTTTGATATGTAGAGTAGCGCTAGGAAACGGTAGGCGGTTGGCGGGTGAAAGTGAAAGGCTGGGATTGCCGGTGATTTCTTTGGAACAAGGTCAGGTCAACCGTCAGAAGTATAATCCTGGCCAGTGACACTGCACTTCTTTGGGAAGAAGGTGGCAAAGGCATCCGAACTCTCACTGCTTTTTGCCCACTCCCTTTCATCCGCACCAACAATGAGAGGAATGTCTGTGTTATGTCAGTATCCTCAAGGACACTTTATATTTGTCCACCATTATTTGTCCTTGGGTGAGCCATTAGAGAAGGTGTGATGGATATTGGCCTCTTTAGCTTCGTGAGATCGCCTTATGATGTTGGCAGCTGTGGTAACGGAGCGGAGGAAAGCTTGGTTGAGTGGAAGATCGTTGGCGTATTTTCTCCAGGAGAGCCAACGGTTGTCTTTCTCCCTCATAGCAGCTGTACATTCCGGTGTCCACCACATGCTGTACATTCCGGTGTCCACCACATGGGCTCACTCGGCCTCATGGTTAGTTGAAAATGGGACAACGTGGCTATTGCGCCTCTGGCAATGTACTTTATATGACGGCTCTTAACCCTTTAAGAGCCGCCCCATACTTGAACGCGTCGTAAACGACGCATTCAAATGCAAAACTTCAAAAGATCGTAACTCAGTCCAATCTCGCTCAAATCCAGTGATCGAAATATTCAGGGAGAAGACAAAACTCTCACCTGTCGGGAGAAACAATCCGCGAAGCGCTGCGAGCAACGGTTCCTGAGATAAATCACTCGTAAGTTGAGCCACGATCGCGGCAATTTCAAAAGCGCGCAGTGCGACTTTAGTATTGAGAATTTTGAGACTTTTCGTCACGCTGGTTTACTCGAATTTGCACGGGTTTCACTTTTGGTATTGTCAAGAGTACACAGCGAAAAATTTGGAACTCCACGATCGAGTAAAATGAAATATCAAGAGCGGGACGCAATTGGACGCATTTGGGGCATTTTTCGTACTGTCGCTGCGATCTAGCGCTGGATAGACGGTGTGCTGGCTATCATGATCGACCTCATTCTCTTCCTCTCGCGGAGACCTTTCCAGAAAGCCCAAGATTGTGAGGATTGAGTGAGTAGAACTGAAGCTATGATCCAAGGAACATGAAAAAATGCAGAATTTTGAAAATTTCCTGTGGCTCTTAAAGGGTTAAGAGCCTGAAAGAGGTGGTGATGATGTTAAAGGTGCAGCGCAGCATCACTTACAGTTGAGATATGATGGTCAGAACAGTCGCTGTGACATAGCCCATATGCCAGGCACTAACCTATGCACAAACTGACTACCTGTGGACATCGCCTGCCGTGCATCAGCTATGTGATGTGAGCAAACGGATACACATGGAGAATGAACAACCATTTTTGTCCTGAATTTTCTCGCTCAGAGAGTGATTTTGGGTGAGCGCATATTTCACACCATTTCCAAAGTCAGGTGTGGTATGAGCATCATTTCTCTCCTTTTTTTGTGTATAAAGTATCTTTCATTTCCTTCCCATTGACTATAATTATAGCGGCACATGAAGTATTGTTTCCCCAGTACCTAGTCCCAGTGCCAGTGATGTATTGAGCTAGTATTGTGACACTGTACCGTTGTGTATGCTCATGCAGGTCAACCTGTCAGTCTAATTGCTGTTGGTACAGGACAAACAACAACAGCATTCACAGTGACATTTGGTGATGGACAACCTACAGCCAATGTTACCATTTACTTACCTGTATGTATTGTGGCCAGTGGATCAGGACCATTCATTCGACTAGAGAAGACTGATGGTAGTCTAGTGTTGGGTGAGACAGGTGCCTTCACTGTGTTTGGAAGAGCACCTGTAAACAACACAGTACATCCTATACTGGACACTTTATACACTGGACTGTACCATTGCAGAACAGTGGATCACAACTCAACACAAACATATCAACTCAACATTGTAGGTAAGTATGAACTGGCTTCTTTCTTTCTGATGCATGGAATGTGAAGACAAAGAGCGCATTGGTTTAAAACGAGACACCCGAGCAACAGAAAGCCTCCTCCCTGATCACGAAGTTGCATATGACGCAAGCAATGTATCAGACGAGTTGCGGCACTCTTGGTTGCAAAAAGACGCGAGGAGTATGTTTATAAAGCATGATGTGTACCATGTATCCCTGCTGAAGTCAACAATGAACAGTTTTAGAGCTTTTTTACTCAGTTCCTTGCCTCAACAGTACAAAGTACACACAAACTCACACCTACACTGAACACCTTCACCCCGCCCACTGAGTGACTCAGACACAACATATTCACACAATTTTACATTCACAGTGACACTCAATCATACATGTACATGATACCTACTCATATTCACGCTGATGGAGTAGTCATATAGCAGCGAAACTAAATGCATGGTGGCAGAGCACGTCTCTACTAGGTTCCTGGTATGTGGCACTGGCAGTGTTGATGCCGACCATCTCCTGATGTCTATTGCTGGTCAACAGGTGGAATGGATCTCGTCGTTTGTGTATCTCGGCAACTTCATATCGCCGGATACCAGCATGTCAGCTGAGCTTGATCGCCGGATTGCCAGTGCAGCACGAGCTTTTGGTGCTCTTCGCTGCATCTTTGATGATGGAAACCCGTCATTGTGCACTAAGAGATTGATTTACAGCGCATGTGTGGTGTCGGTACTGCTGTACGGCACCGAGTGTTGTCCAGTCCTGCGACGTAACGACTTCCGCATTGATGGTTTTCACCACTCTTGCTTGCGTATCATCTTGCCTCTTTGCCGAGTTTTCCCATTCCTGGGTTACTTGGACCTCATTCGCTTCCTTGTCTTTGGACATGCTCAGTCCGTTGAGTTTGCGAATTCAAATAAACACAACCAACCCAACCATCTTGGGTGGGTCTCGGCAAGATCAAAAGTCAGATTCGGTGACCAATGGAGAGCTGAGGTAAAGATGGGGGAAAGCCAGTATTTTTATCCACCTGCTTCTGCAAGCGACACATGAAGTGCCTTGGACATGTTGCACATATGCAGGATACCAGGCAACCTAATGAGCACCGCAAACCTGTATCGGAACAGAGAGGTAGCTGACAATGTTCTTCATGCGAGCGCCGGGTCCGCAGTGCTGGAGGTTCGGCGGTCCACAACTGCCCCAACTCCCGGACTCTCCCCGCGACATCGTCTCAGGCTCCGTACCGGGCGGCGGTGTCTACCATTGCTGCTCAGGCGACTCCTCCGCCGCCGCATGTGCGGCACGTCCTCTCATGCTGCAAGGCCCACTGTGGGGCCTGTGGTCGGTGCTGCCGCTCTACTCGTGGATTCCAAATCCATAGATGCCAAAGATGGCTCTCTCGCCGTGCCGATTGAATATGGTCCCTAACCTCTCGGCAGACTGCCGACTTTCTGCCGTCGCTCGTCGTTTCCATGTTGTCGGCCCCGCCAAGGGACACATGACCGTAATGGCAGTGTTCACCAGGACCAGGTGTGTGTGTGTGTGTGTGTGTGTGTGTGTGTGTGTGTGTGTGAGAGAGAGAGAGAGAGAGAGAGAAAAAGAGAGAGAGAGAGAGAGAGAGAGAGAGAAAGAGAGGATGAGTGTGAGCGTATGTGTGAAAGTGTGTGAGAGTGTGGACTTGGGTGCGTGTCTGGGTTATTGAGGACGTTTGGTCGTGTGTTGGAGTTAGTGTATAGGTTTGTGTGTTGTTGTTTATTGTACGCATGCACGGGTCCGTGTGTGTGTATGTGTGTATGTGCGGATACGAGAGCATGTATATGCGTGGTTCCACTGTATTCGTTGCCTGTATTCCCCGTTTCATACCAGAAACGTGTTTTCCTGATGACGGGGCAAGCGTGAAACTCTGAGTTCCAATTCTGTTCCGACTTACTTGTAATACTATCTTCCACTATTTATTGATCAAGGTTTCTGCCCTACAAAGTCCTTTGTCTCGGAGAGGCGTTTTTCAGGCGACCTCAACCCATCTGTATACACCACTGGCTGGGGCTACTTCTGCAAACATTCGTTTATCGTACTGGAAGCGGCTTTACCCGTCACTGCACGACCAGTTGTGTATTTGGTTTTCTTGGGTGCATCATAGACTGTGCTGACCTGGACAGTCTTTTCATACATTTCATTACTGTTTCCCTGTGTCCTTTTTGTACAGCTCAACAGGTTCAGTCAGGACCATCCCCTACACCACTGACATTGACCAACACGGGTGATACTCACACCATACCATGCGTGTCAAGTGGAAACTTTCCTCTCAACTCATCTTGGAACTCAACATTAACTCTGGACACACAGATGATACAGGCGGTGACACATACGAATATGGTGAACTCAACTTTCAGCTTCCAGCAGAATGATGCTCAGATTGTGTATACAGAAAGTGATACATCAGGTGTTACCTTCACTGTAACCTGTACAACATTGTATACTACAAACTTTGATTGTGATGCAAATGATTCTACTCCTGCACGTCCACAAAGTGTAATTGACAGATGTGTAAATGCTTCCAAGCCAATACCTACCACTGCCTCTGTCACTATCCGAGGTTTGTATTTGTTCAGAATTATTTGGTTTGAATGCATAACAAGTGTGATGAGGGCACTGAAAACTTGAGATATCACTGTCACAGTAGAATGCAGTTGACAAACTCATTCATGCCATCCAAAACACATGATTTCCTCATGACGGTTGTAGTACATACAATTTACTGAAGTAGGTAACATATTCTCTAGTGCTGAAAGATTACGAGCAACTTGGTCAGAATGTTGGGCACCTACTTCGAAGTATCTATTTAGTTTGGTAATACACGTACGAAATCAATACCGCCTCTCCTATCAATTGGGTCAAGCTACAAAAGTAAAAAGAACAGCCTGCAGACACTGGGCTTTGCCTTGTTTGTACAAAGGACGGCAACTCCGTTAAATTATCAAGGGGATTCGGTAATAGAAATACCTAGATGTTAGCAGAAATCACCCTTGTAGTGGGATCCAAGAACTTCAATCTCTCTGAAAAGTTTTTCAAAGTAGGAAGAAGAATGAAACTGAAGACACCACTGCAGCTGTACTTATGGTTGATAATATGGTGGTAAAGACACACCTGGCAGTATGGCGGTAAACACACGCCTGCCCACACACGCTCTCTAAGCTGCAAAGTTCTGGCACAGAGCTCTCCTTCTCACCACCACCACCACCACCACCACCACCACCACCACCACCACCACCACCACCACCACCACCACCACCACCACCACCACCACCGACACCACCACCACCACCACCACCACCACCACCACCACCACCACCACCACCACCACCACCACCACCACCACCACCACCACCACCACCACCACCACCACCACCACCACCACCACCACCACCACCACCACCACCACCACCACCACCACCACCACCACCACCACCACCACCACCACCACCACCACCATCAGTTCGCGCCTGGCGCCTAGTCGATGCATGGTTGGCGGTGTCCGACATAGCAGGCTGGTACATCAAGTAGCTTATTGCACATAGAAGATTACACAGCAACAACATAGCTTGATTGCGACGTATGAGTCCAGTGGGGACGAAAGGTACGTCGCAATCTAGACAAGGCGCCAGGCGCGAACTGATGGTGGTGGTGGTGGTGGTGAGAAGGAGAGCTCTGTGCCAGAACTTTGCAGCTTAGATAGTGTGTGTGGGCAGGCGTGTGTTTACTGCCATGTTGTTAGGTGTGTCTTTACCACAATTTTATTAATCAGGAAGAGATAAAAACATTCTGTAACAGTTTTCCCCTGTTCTCTATAACTTTACACTCCCTCGCACCTCATGCGTCTTACGCCTGTCTATTAGCACCTTCATTGGCGCCATTGCCACATGTATACTATCACATTTTGCATATAACTGGTCGAGGCGCGCTCAACCAGGCCTCTTACTTTTCAAGTTTGATTAAACCTGTTACACTGGTAGCAGAGGATGGTTCCTACTCTGCTTTTGGCAGGTGTTCTGGTCGCTCTGCTTACGCTCCTCGTACTCGTCGTTCGGCTGATAAACGATATCAAGACCGCTCAGCGCGTTAGCCAAGGAAACCGAACGATACATCCGAACTCGGAACCGTGGGAGCCAACACCCCGCCTTACGAAAGAGCCGCCTGTGTTTGGAGGAGATTCCGCTACATTCAAAGAATGGACGTTTGCAATGGACATGGCCCTACGGTCGTTGGCGCTCCCAAATGCGGCACAGAGGGTCGACTACGCGGCAGGATTTTTGACTGGAAACGCTCGTCTTTGGTTGATAGCGGCATTGGAAGCTAACCAAGTGTTTTCCGACTGGCCTGCTCTGAAAGCGGCACTTGGCGATGTGTACGGACCACGGCACAACGAGGAAACATCGCGTATGGGACTAATTTCCGCAGCGCAGCGCGGGTCGCTGGACGCATACATTGCTGCTTTCACTCGCCTCAGCCTGCAAGTGCCGGAAATCGACCACCACACCAGAGCGCTGCTGTTCGTCAGGGGTCTAGTGCCGCACATCCAGCGACAGGTCATGCGTGAGCATCCACGTACCCTGGAGCAAGCTGTCATGGCAGCAAACACCGTGGAGCAGTCGTCAGGGCCACCGGCGTCGGGGCCACCAGCCAGTAGAGAGTCGCGTTCCGTGCCCAGCTTCCGTGGTCAGACTCAGGGCCTCCGCAAGCTGACGGACCAAGAGCGTGTCCAACTGCGAGCAATGGGACACTGCTTTGCTTGCAGGAAGCCAGGCCACCTCGCTAAAGACTGTACTGAGGGTGGACAGCGCTACCCAAACGCTGGTCGCCAGTAAGAAAGGGGGTGCGCTTACTGGCGACGACCCAAGCACCCACGCCGGTACCAGTCGCTAACCGGTTCGGAGCTCTGGAGGTTGAAGACGTTGCTCTCCAGGAACCTACGGAGCCGGAGACACCCATAGCTGTAGGAAATTGTCCCGTTGCAGAAAGGTGTCATGTCAGCAACGTCAGCGTCGGCAATGAACCTGAACACGACCTACTGCGCATACAGGGAAAGATCGGCGGTCGCCGTGCAGTGATGCTGATAGATTCCGGTTCGACGCATGACTTCATTGCAGACAGTTTTGTTCGAAAGCATCATCTTGACACGGATGCAAGCTCAGCAGTGCTGAGCGTAACATTGGCGGACGGCTCGACCAGCGAGGTCCCGCAGATTTCCACACGCACGCTAAGGGTGACAGTCGGGGGCTTCAGTGAGGAACAGCACTTTACTGTGTACCCCCTGACTCGCTACGACGCTATTCTTGGCAAGCCGTGGCTTACAAGGAACAACCCCAGCATCAACTTCCGTACGAACGAAGTTCAGTTGGACGGTGAGCCCTTTGTTGCCAAATTGCCTTCAGCTAACCCGCCGACAGCCGACCGGCCATCTGTGGAAAGCATGTTTATCAGTGGCCGACAAGCTCGTCATGCCCTGAGGAGTGGAGCCGAGGGGTTTCTTGCATGGGTCACTGCTGCAAACGAGGAGAATCGTTCCGGGCCACAACTCCAGGAATCAGAGCAACAAGACATCCAGAACCTGCTCAAGAGGTACCAGGATTTATTTCCAGACGAGCTGCCGAATGAGCTTCCACAGCTGTCAGAATTACTTGAGAAGGGATTCATTGAGCCAAAGCACCACCCGACTTCCTCAACCCTATTCAGGGAGGCAGAGATTCAGCTGATTGGTTGCAAGCAAGACAAGACGCGGTCAAGATCTCACAAGATGCGCTAGTGGCAGCTCAAGCTCGTCAGGCCTTCTATGCAGATCGGACAAGGGCCGAGGGAAAGCTGAAGGTGGGAGATTTGGTAATGGTCTACCGGGATTTCCTCCTGACTCCTGAAGCTCGGGACCGACCATCCCATAAATTACGCCCCAAGTGGTTTGGCCCCTTTCCTATAACCCATGTGGTCGGCCCGAATGCCTACAAGCTCAAGTTGCCTCATACCAGCCGCTGTCACCCGGTATTTAATGTGTCGGCACTCCGTGCCTACGAGAAGAACGCTATTCCTAATAGGAGACAGCCTACGCCTCCGCCTATCACGGACCTTGATGGTCATGCCCGCTATGTGGTGGAGAACATTCTCAGTCACCGCCGCCGGCAGAATCAGCTTCAGTACCTAGTCAAGTGGCAAGGCTACTCTGATGCCACTTGGGAGCCTGAACATTATTTGTTGGATGAATCTGGTAATGACATTGTTCCACTTCAGAAGTACAAAACCTTGGCTTCTGCCCGCTGAGTTTTGCAGTTGAACTTCTAGTTTCATCTTACACATTTGTTGAGCTTATTACACTTTATTTGCATGGAGTTTCAGTCGTCTTATTGTGTTACTTCAGTGCGAAGCCTTTTTTCGTCTCGCACGTGTTTGCGCTTATTGTACTCTATTCCACTTGAGCATTTGGGTTATAAGCTCCTTCCTCTCCATAGGAGGGGGATGATGTAACAGTTTTCCCCTGTTCTCTATAACTTTACACTCCCTCGCACCTCATGCGTCTTACGCCTGTCTATTAGCACCTTCATTGGCGCCATTGCCACATGTATACTATCACATTTTGCATATAACTGGTCGAGGCGCGCTCAACCAGGCCTCTTACTTTTCAAGTTTGATTAAACCTGTTACACATTCATACTTAGAACGTGTGTGCCTTGGACAGATACTTTTCACCTTAATCCTCAAGGCCAAGGAATTTGTGACATCATGTTCAGCGCCGTTTCAGGAGACATTCTCATATCCTCCAAAAACATTGGTTGCGGTTGAGCGAAGAACAATGAAATAGGGGGTGTGACCGATGTCTAGCATCTCAGTATCGTGTTGAAGCTGTTTTCCAGGTTTAATGTGGTTGACAATTATCGATTTCCTTGATGAGTCTGAGATCGTCATAAGTCTGTCTGCAATAGCTCTTCTGTGAGCGAAGGCTTTTCAATATTATGTGAAGTAGAACCGACAGTGTGATGGAACATCAAACGATGTGCACTCAAAATCCAGGCATTGTATTCTCGCTGTCATTTGGAGACCCACAGTATTTAGGTTAATTAAGAGAGCATGTCTGAGAAAACCAGAACATATGTGCAAGTCGATCTCTCAGATTTCGCTAAAATTTTGCAGGTAGGTTTGCTTTGGGGTGTAGATCGACATTTCAAAGCCCACGCAAAATCTTTTGAAGGGAACCATGAAATTGGCATACCCCTCAATATTGGCCCAATATTGGCACGATTTTTGGGTCTACAAACGAGCCACGGCACAGCGTACAAGAACAAGCAACGAACAAAACTCCATCAAGCCAACATTACCTCACCTTAGAAGAGTTCTTAGGGCAGCACCGCTTAGCCACGCCAGCATCCCTGAAGACCAGGGCAACCATCCTTTGACGCCTTTGATGCTCTCTTAACCCTTTGAGGTGCCACTGAACGCGTGAAAATGCGCAATTGCAGTTCACTCCACCATTTCCATCATAACTTACGTTCTGTTTGCTTGATTTTGACAGTCTAGGGCTCTTTGAAACGCTCTGTCCGCTGCCAAGAGAATGAGGCCACGCTCAACTCCGTGGGAGCCACAAAGCCTGCTCCAGAGCGCAGGGAATCGCCATAGGTCGGGCCTCGTGTTGAAAGAAATATTTCTAAATTTCATCCCAATGCCATTTCGCTGTCGTTTCTTGCACAGCTCTGGATTTTTTTGCATCTCAATCAGTAGTTTCGACGTCATTACACCCACACGTCATCAGCTGGCTGCACACCACGTGATTAAAGTCTTTCACTTTCACAAACGGAGATGTGTATGTTGCGCCCTTACCTGTGCATCTGCCTCACAAACGCCGTCGATCATACAAAGAATACATTATCCATTGGTTTCAGGGAAATGAAAACGGGAACGTCGGAAAACAAATTAGACTATTACCACCAGGACTCGAACCAGGAAACATCGATCATGAGCTACATCTCATGTGCTGAAGTTCTTGGAGTAAATTATTAGTAAAATGAAACGTTAGATTCTTGAAAAGAAATGGAGTTTAAGGTCAAGTGTATTGGTCAGCTATCCCCAGTATATACTGAGGTACTCAAGTGTTGTGTGTTGAGTACAGAGCCAGTAGCTTGCGCAGTGGATAGTTCTATAGAAAATCAATACACAAAAATCAACACTTGACAAATTTACAAACCCTATGGAGACATTTACCATGACCCGTGGCACATATGGCCAGGCCTATAATTAACCCAAGGATATAAGGAGGACACTGGGGCGACCTCTGGCACTGCACCAACTGCCAATATTATTGCAATTTCGTTTGCCGTGGTATGCTCCTGCAGCAACTCAGAATCATCACCTTGCATGACATTGTACAGCACTTGAGCTAGACTTCGAGGCTAATTTACACAGCCCAAAGACCTTACTGCTCTATATACTTACTTACCATGATGATCGTGATCACATTGTCTGTCTTTCTCCTTTATTCTCTCGATCATTATTTTCTTTTGTCTTCTTCTTCTCCTCTCTTTGTTATGGTCTATCAGTAGGAGGTGCATTCTGTTAAAAAGAATCCTCTCTATGGCATGTACCCAAGTATATTACATACAAACATGGATGCTTTCCAGTACATGAACGCAAGCTCTCCCATTCCAGATAATTATTGTTCACAGTCATGTCGGGGGTGGTTGTTGTTCTTATTCCCGCTTGCGTCAAATGTCACCCATTCTTTGTCCTAATTGTGAAAAGAAGAAGGACAAATGTTACGAGTTATGACTCCGAGTTACACTCTTTGACCTGTTGATATAATGTGAATATTTGGTTTTCAGCAGAAGACAAGCTGCACAACTCTGGTGTACACTTGTGAGACCGGGCTAACTAGATATTGTCTGCTTTTAATGGTATTGAAACATAGCAAGACTTGTATCGTTGAGATTTTCACGTATTCTGAGTAACCGCCCTGAATTATGCCTCTTCGTGTCTAGCGCTATGTCCAGATCTGAATAACAGTAACTTCAACTACAAACCTATTGCCAGATTCGACACACAACCAGGTACTCCAGTATCCATTGAGTGCAGAACAGGTTTTCTGTCCAACAATAGTATGGAAATAACCCAGTCTACATGCCAGGGCAATGGAAGATGGCAACCAAGTCCACCAATGTGTGAGAGTAAGTCTGTATCTCAAAGCATACCAGTTATACGTGCACATCTAAATATTAAAGGAATACCCAGTGTGTCTTACATGCAAACAAACATTCACATTTGGCCTTTGGATTGGAAACCTGTCAACGCCTCTAGGTTAGGCTTGGTCCGATGGTCCTTGTACCAGCCACAATGAAATTTTCCAAAATCTGCACATTTCACTTTCTTCAGATTGCAACTTCAGTTCTACTCAACCAATAAAATTATAGTTGATCCAGTCAGCGAAAGGTCTAAAGAAAGAATAACTGATATCGGTTGGAGTCGTCTTCAATGTGTGACAATTGCCGCTATCGCGGGTTGTTTTGCAAGTGATTTATCTCTGAATCTGCTGGTCGTAGCTCGTCGCGTATTTTTCTATTGACGGCTGAGAGTTCTCCCTTGGACCTGGATATTTGTATCGTTGAAATAGAGCGATTTTGGACAGAGTTACGATCATTTGAAGTTCCCCAAGTGGGTGCGTCGAACGCATTAATGTACACACCGGCTGATAAAGGCTTTTAAAAGATGGATAGAGTGCTGCTCAGGTCCCGGGTTCAAGTCCTGGTGGGGTTGGAGAATTTGACGGAGGATATCACCTCAAGCCGAAGCCCGTCCTCACAGGGGCCGAAGGTATTATAAGACTTTTTTTCATTTCTCCACTCCAGGTTGCATGTTGCTATGCAATGACACTAATGTGGTGGATTGTAATCATCTACCGGCAGTGGGAGTGGCAATGGCAACTGTCAACTGTACTTGTAGACAAAACTTCCAATGGACCATGGGTGAATGTCAACGTAAGTGCATTGCTGTATATAACGTAAACCGGATTCTTCCTGAAGTTGTTTGTTCCAACTAGGACACACGCTTCTTGCCGAACTTGAAACTTGACTGACTCACGACTGCCATCCGGAGCACACGAGGAGCAAGTCGCACCTTCCACTCGGCAAACCTAGTTCCTAGTTGGAACAACCAACTTCATGACTAATAACGCCGAAGTTGCTACTTCTAGTTTCAAAGTCTTCCTTCTAAAAAATATGCTACAGCACATGCTACGGTGTTTACAGAAAGCGGGCGTCCACGGATGTCGATGTCGACGTTTGTTGTGGAGTAGCGGAAGCCAATTGCCTCATGGCATGCCTGGAAGTAGATTAATCTTCCCATTTTGTGACTAAACATCGCTTTACTACTGTGAACTTACTTCAGTCATGCAGATCCTCAGTAGGTTATAATAGCTATATACTTGGTCCGCCCAGTTAAAATTGGTGCTTATCTTTACACTTGTCTCAGGAAAGAAATACGAATATTTGAAGCAAGCCACGATCACAAAGCACTATATACATGATTATTTACATGTCAGTAAGCAACTCAGTCGAAAATTCAAGCAAGTTACACATCCTCCTCGCCACTATCGTCGCTGGAGGAAGAGCTCAAAATGTACGATCCGGACAGCTGCTGCACGGGTCGTTTCATAGCTTGTTCCACTTCTCCTCGTCTCGAATCACGCTCAAAGGCAGTGCGTGCCTGTCACCTTCCCATCAGAAGCTGAGTGAGACTGCCCGCATGTTGACTGTAAGTGTTATCCCCGTTCATCGCAATAATGCGTCTTTGTTTGAGACAAAAAGGCAACGCCATATCAGTGTCCTTTTTTCAAATCGCCTCTTGCGCTTGTCGTACTTGCTGATCAGCACCCGTACCCACGCGAGCCGCTGGTGCTTGTACATGCAGCGCAGTGATAGCTTCCGCTTGATGTAGCACCTGTGGCCTGTGCGCACTGCACCTACAACGCCGTGCACCCGGCTTTTCGGCTAGTTTCCTGAACGTCCTTTGCACGAGTGTTTCTCTCAGGACTTGGTGCTTTCTTTGATTAGCTCCTTTGGCCTGTCCTCTGTGAGCTTCAAAATGTGTCCGCCGGATTGGTCTCACTTTCTGGAGATATCGACATGAGCTGCAGTTTCTTCGTCAGCGATTTGCTGGTGATAGCCCTTCACTAGGCGCTGTACTGTGCAAGCAATGAAATTCAAGCTCGCGAAGCGCTTTTTCAGCTTTTCTATACCTCCCCGGGGTAAACAATCCTTGCCATCAGACAGCTGGAAGTAGACAGAAACTGTATTGTCCCTCGCTCTGAAATGCGAACCTCCTGACCTATTTTACGGACTCGAGCGGAGGTTGCAGTGTTTTCTTGCGCTGACGGAAGTGTTCGTCGGCGGCAGCTCCGTCAAAAAGACTCAAACGAACCGATCGCAACTTCTGTGATGGTTTGTGCTGCCATGTCGTCGAATGCAATGGTCAATGGTTATGTTCGGATGGTGAATCGGTGGTTCCATGCCGTGTGGCACAGGCAGAACACCAAAAAATCAAGTTAGAAGATAAGCGGCAATTTTAACTGGGCGGACCAAGTACATATACCCATTCGAATGTACGCTGTCTAGTTCAGGTGTTTTAATTTCACAGAGGGCCGTCAATATGGTATCTGAGTTGTTATACGATCATAAGAATGTGGATCAACATACAGCTCACTCAGTTAACATAGGAGTTCATCTTCAGTGTTGTCTGTCAGTATGCAATGATCTACTTTGTGTGTTATATTTTTGTTCTGTGCACAGCAACACATTGTCCAGAGTTAAGCTCGACAACAGCGACGACTTTACCCAGGAGCACTATTGGCACAAGCATCACTGCATCATGTATGTCTGGTTATGGCAATATCTCAATGCCAAGTACAGTGATTTGCCAAGCTGATGGAACATTGACTACACTACCAACTTGCCAAGGTTTGGGAACATGATGACAAATTCTTCTTTATCTTACTTTTTAACTTCTTAACTTCTGCCAGCATAATTACCACAGTATCTACTTCGCCTCAGGGTTATTTGGGAAGTTGCCATGCAGGGGTGTTGAGCGCGTCCTTCGGCACCGGGAATACAACTAGCTCGATTCTGTATCTACTGAGTGAGGACGACCCACACCTTGATCTGGTGAGCTGGTCATGGAGATTTGCAGTCAGATGTGTGGCCGCCTTATTTATTTGCCATTCCGTAACGTCAAAGTGAAAACAAAATTTGAAAACTTTCACTCTAAGACATGTTTTAGCTGGTTGTGGCCCATATACAAATTACATCCTTCATGGTCCCCATCTCCTTGCTCCCAAACGTATTCCTCTTTACATTACTCACGTGTGGTTCTAAGCCAAATTCGCCCACTTTATTGATACCTGTAGTACATTGTATGTCATATCATGTGGGGTAGGTCTAGGTAGCACCCGCTGGCACTTCAGAACTGTACTCAGATTTTGGAGATACAGCTCACTGCCACTAACAACATAAATAACAAGTAGAAGTCGCAAAATGTGGGGAGATTATAACACCCCATATCATGGCAATCCCAGTTTGAAATGATTTTGTAAGTGCATCATAATCATGATGCCTCCCGTAGTTCTAGGGTTAACTCTGATACGCTGTGTTCTATGCGTGCGTGCCTGTAAACATGTGTTCAGCTCGCCGAACAACTGACGTATACAACCCGACTGCCATCGGTAGGTGATTTGCCTGTAAATCAAGCACACATCCACTGAAACACAAAGCCTGTGTGGTTGAGTGCCATTGGTCAAAACCGAGAGTCCCGTGGTCCACTCTTGTTCTTGCATGGGTGGGGGGGGGGGGGGGGATAGTAAATGTGTTCATTAGATGTTTACACTGCGTTTGCACACGGCATATGGCTTGGGACTCCCTGGTGCCGTATTTACCTTATATGCGTAAGGATACAATAACGTACTTACCTTACAGGCGTGCGGGTACAATGACATAATCACCTTATAGGCATCCGGGTACAATGACGTAATCACCTTATAAGCAGGCGGGTATAGTGACGTAATCACCTTACATGGGATTAGCACCCCTTTCTCGCACCAAAGTATTATTTTGCTACTTGACCGTGCAACCCCCTTTTTTCGATGCCAGGTTGTGCCCTATCGGCGGCTTCTTCGGTCTGCCACCGTGGTCGCGCACGAGCCCGATCTTTGAACAGCTCCGCCTCACCACCCTGGAGGACATGTTTAACATTAAACTCCTCATCTTTGTCCTTCTTTGCCTGTTCACCCGAGCTAGCTCCCTCTTCACCAGCTTCTTCGTGAGAGTTACTGGTGACCGCACTCGGGGAGTAGCACATCGCCTCGTTCGAGTACCATTTTGGCCCGGTGACGCGGGTCGAGCGACCATGCAGGTTATTAGCGCAGTCCTGTGTAACCTGCTCCCGTCTGATCTCCGTTCCGAGCCCAGCAACCTTCAGTTCTGTGCCCGGCTGAAAGCGCATCATGGCTCCATTTAAATGCTTTTCGGCTAGTGTGTTTCTGTGGTTTAGCGGACTGAAGAATAGTAAACGTGTTTTGCAATATATGTATGAAGCTATTTTGTATATAGTATGTTCCCATTCCGTTTTTGCTTTGTTGTAGCCCTGAGGTTGATTGCTTATTTATTTCTACCCTTCCTCTCTCCGTTGTTCTGTCCCCCTCCCCCCTCTCTCTCTCATTCCTTCTGTCGTCCACATGTATCAAAGGAATCGCCTGTTTGTGGTGCGACGTTAAATAAACTTCTACAACAACAGGTTGCAACGCTCACGCCGAGGCCCCTGGTCGGTCGAGTTGCTCCCTGTACATCGGCACGTCGTCTCTACATCCCCTGTGTCTTGTTTTTGTGTTTGTCTCCACATGTCTCTTTGTAGGGCTGTATTTCCAATAAAATAAAATATATAAAGAGTAGGGGTCCGGGTACACTAACGTATTAACCTTAAGGATTCACCTTAAGCATGGTCGTTAATTTCATATGGCATTCAATCGACCGAAACGTTGGTGTCTCTTGATGGATTTGAGTGACATTTTCACCACACACTCCTGCCAAATAGCTGAGGCTGCAGTCACCTCACTAATCATAGTATATTTTCAATGCTCCTTTTATTTTACTTGAACAATTTCGCAACCCCTCTCTCCCTCCCTCCCCCTCTCTCTCCCTCTCCCCCCCCCCCTCTCTCTCTCTCTCTCTCTCTCTCTCTCTCTCTCTACCCCTCTCTCTCTCTCTCCCTCTCTCGCTCTCTCTCTCTCCCTCTCTCTCTCGCTCGCTCGCTCTCTCTCCAACTCTCTCTTGCTCTCCCTCCCCCACCCACTCTTGGTGCGTCTAGGTGGCTATGAAGTCGAGACCCTAGGTCGGCAGAGCTCCTTAAACCTCACCACCACTGCCACGATTTCCCAAGGCGGAATGTAGCCTACGAAATGGTTTCTCTAGACTAGGAGAAGATGCTTAGCATTCGCCATCTCTCCTGAGAAATGTCCAGCAAAAATATCAAAACATACGACATTATTACTTGAATCTCATTTGACTGACTCGCCACTCATCCCACACAACCCCTCATCCGTTGAACTTGAGTAGGCTAGTGAAACTACTACTCATCCGTTGAACTTGAGCAGGCTAGTGAAACTACCTCTCGTCCGTTGAGCTTGAGTAGGCTAGTGAAACTAACCCTCATCCGTTGAACTTCAGTAGGCGTGTGAAACTTGTACTCACAGAGCACTGCCGTTTAAACTGTCAGTAGTGATTTTCTAGCCTAAACATCACTAGTGTTACAGAGTGTGACAGAGGTCTTGGCAATTGAAGAAAATGAAGAGTCATCTGCACCATTACACTGCGCTCTTTAGCCGACTAGACCCTCATTCAAACAACCATCACCACTGAGAGGACGATATGGATAAACTCCTTCAGACAGCTGTTTCGCTAATACATAGCTCATCAGTGAAGGTAGATGTTTAACACCATTAGGGATACTAAAGTACTGTACAATCATACAGTGACACTTTGTTTCAAGCACGACAAACGCATGTTTTACCAATGGTCCTCAGCGTTCGGTGTGCATTTGCACAAGCGATACTTATACCGCAGTCTGGAGTTCGAAAGGTGTTAGTCGCGCTGAAAACAGAGAGCCAGTGTTGGATTGCACTGTATGAAGCAAGAAACCAACGGTTTTAATGACCTAGCAACTCTGATACAATTGAAGGCATCATGTAGATTAGTATGTGCTGGTGGCCATGTGTCAAAATTATGTGTGTATGCCTGCGATTATGTTATTTCAGCACTTCCAACAACTGGGAAATACAGCACGACTTCCGGAAGTAAGTGGTATGCCTACACCTGCAAATCAAGTACACATCAAATAAGACTCCATACCTTAGTGCCTTGATCGTTGAAGGGTTCTGGTGGTCGAAAGGATGCGGTAAAATCGGCGTCTAGCCAAGTCTTTCGTGTAACGTTATTGTGATCCTTTCTTTAATTAAGTATTGGTCGAGGACAGCGGGCCAAAACCGAGAACACCTTCTTCCAGGCTGGGCTGCCGCAGTCGATTTCGTATATTATTTCACACTGCGAATGCCCAAAGCGTCCGGAGTGGCGCTCCCCTCTCGCTGGTTTCACCTTAGAGGATAATGTCTGAAAACTGGAAACATTTGTTACTTCTTTTCGCATGCTTCATGCAAGTTTTGTATTTAATACGCGGTTCGGTGGGAACTCGGTTAAAAGGATTTTCAGCATCCGTAGAAACGCCACCACCGTGCAAATATCAAAGGCAAAATAGACCTCCTAAAGCATTGGGGGAGGGGGGGGGGGGGAGGAGGAGATCATCCCACCAGATAAAATGCATAGACCAGTGTACAAACTTTCGTAACTTCGTCAAACATTAACGCATTGCAACAATCAATACACCGTTGGAAAGGTCTTGACCTCATCTTTCGCGAATATAAAGTTCTTCGCGATAGAATAATAATTCATTGAGCGGCGACAAGATGAACACGGAAATCACGGCCCAGAGTGAAGGCGAATTTTTTTGTTCATGACTTCTTTTTGTTGAGGAGCGTGCCAGGGGATTTCCCTTTGGCACGGCGCATGCGTGATGGACATCAAATGAAGCGCTTGGATCTTAGCTTTGCAGCGCAGTTTGAATTGTGAACATCGGTTGAATTTGGGCAAGAACCCGAACAAGTATGTGAAATTGAGTTGTTGTGCGGTTCCGAGGCACGGTGGAGTAGTTTGGAGAGGACGTGGAAGTGGCCCTGATGTGTCTATAGAGCTGAGAGCTGCCAGGATGGATTTGCTTGGTCCTGATCTTTCCAACGAGCCCAGGACGATGAAAATCCATCAAGGTGGAGTGAAATGAGAATAAATTTCGTTCGGAGCTGTGAGTGCATACTCCACCAAGACAGTCAGTGCGCTGGAAAGCCAGTGGATTGGAGAAAAGGGGCTCAGCATGCAAAGGGTTAACGGCCTAAAATCCCATTTTATTGCTTCAGGAGCAGAATCTGCCAATTTTTCGAACTTCAGCCGCCAATGGGTAGCTGAGCATGTGCACAGGAGACGTGAGTTGCGAAGTCTGGCGAAAGACCGTCTCTGCGCAATGAGAACGACCTATGTACGCCACAATGTTGAAGCAGAGCATCGCTAGCCATAAGCCGGGCACCCTGGTTAAAGTCTGAGCAAGAGTACACTATTTCGGTCTTGGTGAGAGTTGCCAACTTAAATCAACAAGATCATCATAACCAATCTTCAAGGTTGCTAAAAGCACTGTAGCTCTGTGCGTGACCAGAAGACCCTCTTTTACGGGAGAAAGACACAATGGATGAAACCGCAAAACAAATGGCATGGAGGAGCTTCAAGAAGACGTCGACGCTGAAATATTTGGATGCAATATTATAAAAGAACGTCGCAAGTTTTGTTCTCTGCGGTATGATTTCTCTTTCTGCGTTCGTTCCAAAGTGTCACAGCACCAGTGTCCACTTTCTCCTAGACAAGTTCTCCGGTCTGAGTACTTTGTTTTGTAGATTTGACACTCCTTAGTGCGTCTTAAGTTTCATTCGTTTACTTGTGCCTTGTTCACGTGCTATTGTCCCCCACAATTAGGCGCTGCATGTGCCGTTAGGGTTTACAGGGTGTTAGCGGCCGTCGTGAGTTCCCTTCGAGAACGGACACGATAATTTCCTTTTTTATTGTCCTTTTTTGTCGATAAAATAACTTGCTCTTCGTAATGTTCTGAGAGGTAATTGTAGTATCCCTGCCCGACCAATACGGAAGTAGTACGGAACTAATACGGAGCTTTGCCTGATGTATATTTAGTGTATCTCCGTATGTAAGCGTACGGCGTCTGCTGCATTAAAGCTGCTGCGCATTTCTGTTTAGAGGAGATTTTGATAATAACGAGCTATTCAACCTCCAGGTGTGCACCGGAGAGAAACTTATTTATTTGCCGCTTCTTCTTTCACTAATAATAATCTCAGGTGTGTACCTGAGAGAAATAGAATAAAACTAATTCTTGTTAATTGCACCGCGCCTACCACTCGGCTACCCATTACATTGGTGGCAGCGGTGTATTTTTTAAAGAAAACAACGTGATTCGACCCCACTCCCCCCCCCCCCCCCATGGCTCAACCCGCTGGAGCTCCGTTCGACGAATCAAGATGAGAATCATGTTTCTTGCCTTCCTGGGCCTGGCCCTGCTTATTAGCCTGCAGCACAGTCGTGGTGCTAGCGTGGGTCACCCTTCTCTCCGCACGGCACACACTGGAGACTCCGATGGCGATTCCAAGCGACCCGCTACCTACATGTATACTACCGGTGGTGATGGCGAAGCTGATGAGGACGACAACAGGCAGGCTACTGCCCAAGACAAGGAGGGTATTCCCCAAGACCAGCAGCGTTTGATTTTCGCCAGCACGCAGTCGGAAGCAGGAGCCCACTCTTCACTTGGTACTTCGCCTCCGTGGTGGGATGCAGATTTTCGTCAACACTCTTCCTGGCTAGACCATCACTCTTTACGTCGCGCCAAACGATGCTATCGACAATGTGAAGACCACGATTCAAGACGAGGAGGGAGGTTATTTGTCTGACGCCGAGCTAGCCGCTCTGAGTGACCGGCTCAACCAAGATGAAGATAAAACCTGGCTCGCCCTCCGCCATAGCTCCAGCCGCCGCCGTGGTTACTAACGCTGATTCCAGGTATGGCATTTTCTTTCCTGTCTTCCTTCAGTCTCCCTGTTCTCTTCAGTCTTCCTTTATGCGAGTGTGTGAATCCAGTTTAGTTTGGTAGGCGTCTGATCATGGTGAGCCACGGTTTACCCAGCTAACGTGGGACAATGTGTGTGACAACGCCCCTTATAGTTATAGTGTATTCAGTTCGGTTTTTGAACTGCGATGTTCCTGGCGGGTTGTGCCAGCGTTGTGCAGCAAGAGTGCTGTGGTTTTTCAGGTCCTATTTGGAGGACAGGTCTTCCCCCTTTTGACCCCGTGAGATCGTGTGAACCTGGTGTGCTTCTACTTTATGATTAATTTTGTTATCAGTTCATTTCTTCTGTCTACTCTAAACGTTATCATTTCCGATATAATTTGCCATCTTCCGGTTGACGCTGTTTTCGTAACTCTTCACTAATTTTTTGAAAATCACGAGGGCGTGATTATCTGTAGGAAGGTAGGGTGTAGTATCCCTGCCCAACCAATACGGAAGTAGTACGGAACTAATACGGAGCTTTGCCTGATGTATATTTAGTGTATCTCCGTATGTAAACGTACGGCGTCTGCTGCATTAAAGCTGCTGCGCATTTCTGTTTAGAGGAGATTTTGATAATAACGAGCTATTCAACCTCCAGGTGTGCACCGGAGAGAAACTCATTCATTTGCCGCTTCTTCTTTCACTAATAATTATATCTCAGGTGTGTACCTGAGAGAAATAGAATAAAACTAATTCTTGTTAATTGCACCGCGCCTACCACTCGGCTACCCATTACAGTAATCATGCTGGCGGTTACCATTTGTTCCCTTCTGTAGATCATCTGGACTGCGCCTGACCAGCACAGCTCTTGTAGCACCTACTAATCCTATGTTGTCTTTGTCTCTGGTCTTACCCCTACAACTTTGTCGGGATGTGCACATACTGTAAATATACAAAATTTTGGCGATGCAAAATTTCGGCACTTCACGATTTTTGACATTTCGGCGGCGATGTATTTTCGGCGTGGGGTGGAGGGCATGGTATAGCGCGACAGATGCTGTGAAAAATTTCATCGGCGTTTTAATTTTGGTGTTTTGGGTCGGTGCCGAATATAAAATTTGTATAATTTACAGTAGTTTAAAAAATAAATTAAATTAAAATGTGCTTTGTCCGCAGTGACAGCTACATGTGAAGGAGCATAACATCTAGTTGGTGGCTGTGATTGTGGATATATTGTGAACTGCCCTGCACTTGTGTATAAATAACCCCCAGTCCACGAATTGACAGCGCTTATCCAAGGGCGGCTGGTGAAGAATGGACGAGGGGTGTTCACTGTTCAAGGAAATACGGTACATTGGTTTCAAACTGCTGGGGAGGAAAAATTAAACTCTCCGTCCCTTTCTGGCTGTTCCTAGTATACTTCTACTACTGACTGCACATTCTGCACGAATTTTTCCTGATTTACGACTTTTGTCTATACGTCGACTGTCCAAAATGTAGCGCTCATTTATTGCTCATTTTCGAAATAAAGTGCTCCTGGTGGCTCACATATTCGAAAACCGGCGCTTGGTGCTCGTTTTGGCGCCAGCACCAAGTCCCAAGGCCAAATTTAAACAAAGCAAAAGTGAATTGTACATGAGCGTCACGGGTAAAGTTGGACGTGTAACAACGCGAAATAAGAACGTAGCCTGGGGCGTTGAAAAATAAGAACTTTGCTAGGCTGGCCCTCTGAAACAGCGTTCTTGGGCGTACGAGTCTACTGTACAAGTATACACTCAAGGCCACATATTTCATCTTTTTTCTGTTTCTGCCTCATATTCAGATCCTAACAACACAGACCAATTTTCAAATGGTAAGTGATGTGCGACTGGTTCACGTCCTCCGTTTTATAATTTTGCTTAGAAGTACATGTACTACCAATTAGAGCTCAAACGGTAAGTCTGATTAACCGGTTGCAGACCGGTTACGAAGAATTAACAGTAAGCCGATAAAGATAACGGTTACGCAGTAACTTTCCACTCGATTTTTCAAGTATCAGGTCGTCGCAAAGTATGCACTTTCGCAGGCTGTTGCACGCGTACGCAATTTCTGGGCTGTCAACTCTGTTATATCTGGTCTCTTGGTGTGAGAGTATGTATGAATGAGCATGCAAGAGAATGTACATGGGTGCGCTGTACTGAATAGGGTACATTTTTTGAATGAGTTCAGTCAAATACACAGCTAAAAAGAGTCCGCAGGATCTTTTCAGACCGCTCGCTCGTTTTTCGTGGACTGCTCCAGCACGCAGGGAACTTTTCAGAATGATGTTTTAGAATGTTGCGATGAAAGGTTTTTTTTTGGAGGATTTTGATCTGCACCTCGGGAACATTCCATCTCGCGGCACAAATCCCCTCCCCCCCCCCCCCCCCCCGCCAATATGCGTCCCATTTTGTTTCTTTTAGATCAATGAAAACTCTGTTCAGGTCCGGAGAATAGGTCTCAATAGAAGTTCGCAGAAATCGGTGTAAAATTCGGAAACTGTGTAAAGGTTCTAAAAACCTAAAATAGCAGATTCACTTGGACAGTTGATGAGTGTAAGAAGGTAATTATAAATGGCGCCGTGTTCCACTAGCATTCTACCGAGTTGGTTTGCTGACGTTTCGAAGCTCAATGATCCATGATCCCTATAATTGCACTGATTTTGCGGAGAAGAGGTAGAATAGGAATAGCAGTATTTGCATTGTATTATTTAAAGGATTTCCCAAAGGCAAAGCCTATCGGGGGAACTCCTAACAGTGAAAATGATCCTTCCTTTATATTTATACAAGTGAAGCGACTTATGCAGGCAAATATATGCTGTTTATAATGAGCACGAAATTGTGTCCGAAATTCTGAAACAGAATCTATAGCGGTTATCTTAGGTGGAAGACAATTCCATGATTTTCCGATTTTATATAAGAAAAGGGAAGATGAAAACTGCCCATGAGAGCAGTAACAGGATGGCCTCAAATAGTCCCTAACTATCAGCGAGGAACCGTGAACAGAGGTATTTCTATATTTTATTTACTGTCTGCACTTCATGGCGCATAATGAAAATAGCCAATACAAGGAAGTGAGGGTGAAACCACCGAGGGCAAAAAAATGCAGTAAAGAGAAAAAGAAAAAAGGAAAAAAGAAGCATCACTTGCGAAGAGCTTTGTTGAAAGCGGAAAGTGTCTCCGCACGTCGAATACTATAGGAAAGGGAGAGGCAAAGTCTATAAACCTTTAACACGGGTGAGTTTAAAAACTTGGGTAAACCAGGAGCAGGCAATGAATGATACTTGATTTTGAGTCGTTCTATCACGTTGGAATCAGTCATGCTTTTCCAAGTGTTGGGGAATTCGTTTAAAGAGGAAGTCCGCTGAAAATTTTAAATTTAACAGTCCGTAGAGTTCAGGGCGCTGAGTCGTATGGTCTTTATCCGAGGAGGCTGAGTCCTATGGTTCGTCAGATACGGGCAATCGAACATGTGCGAATTTCAGCGCCTCAACAAGATCCTGGTGATGATGTCACAGCGTGCAGCCAGGGAGCCACACCATCTAGATGTGGACAAAACGGCCATATTCGGACCCCGTTCGATTGGGAAACCGTTTGTTGCAGCTTCTTCGGACCAAGACCATTCGATTCAGTGTTACAAACACTACGTACCCTGTGATTTTCAGCTCGGTAAACCTCGAGGTTATGCCATATTTTTGCCGTTTCGGAGTTGGACTTTTTCCGTCGGGATGCACTGGCCTCTACGGCTCTAGCAATGCGCTGTGTGCATTCTAGCTGTAGTGTAGTCAGCAAACTCATCACACACGGAACTACTCCCGCACTGCCGTGCTGGGGTGGGTACAACATGACTCGAGTCACAAGACTCAGAAAACTACATGACTTTACTAGTAGCCAACACACGGACTTGTAATGTACTACAGTCGTATTGTACAGTCGTGTAGTCAGAGAATGAGCGTTTCTCCTTGCCGGTACGGTGCCGGTGGTTGTGCTTTGAGAAAGAAATTTTTTTTCCGCTCCCGGCTCATTATTATATGCTACAGCGATGAGTGCACAACCGTGACAAGTGACAAGACAGCGAGCAGCTACCGGACCTAGAACTTTCAGATCCCGTAGCGTTGCGAGCGAAGAGTCGTGCCCGTGGTTCAAAGAAGCTGCACCGTTCTCCAATTAAGTAGTCCGAAACATGCCAAGTTCGCCAAAACATCACCATGTGGCAGGCTACTGGAGTCTAAGCGAAACGGTATGGAACAACATTTAGAGCACTCGCATCACTCGCATCACTCTTCTCCATTTTGGCGACTCTGCTATCCAGCGATCTGATAATTATATCAGCCTCGTCTGCAATAGCTGCTGCTTCTTCATCAGTCGGAAACTCAGTAGCGCTCACTCTTGACCGGCTCGCGCGGCCATTTCTTCAGCTGAATATCAAGGTTCCCAGCCCCAGACCGAACTCATGAGGGTCAGCCATGGCTGCACCCTCACTCTCACAAGGAGTTACGTCTTCGGAGTCGCTTGCACCACTTTTTCTCTTTTTTTTTCGAATGCACTGACTGTGGACAGTGTGACTTTTACAGCTCCATAGTGTTTGACAGCCCAGCAAGCAACAGGCCGGTCTGGAAGTAGGACAGTAGTGCAGGGTAGGGTAGCATAGTGTAGTAGTGTAGGGGTGTAGGTAGGTAAAGCAGTCAGGGAGAACTTCTTTGCCATGGGTGAACTCGCAGGAGAGCCTGCGATGAAACTTCTCTGCTCCCTCCCGGGTATAGAGCAGACTCTGCTCAGCGTGCTGCAGACCCTGACTTTTCATGTCAGCGAGTCGAGGGATCGTGAGGCGCGTCTCCATCAGCGTGTGGACGACCTCTCCACGCCGCTCCCTGGCCTCCGTGAGGAATTTTGTTCCCTGCAGAAATACGCCATTGTTCCCGACAAGGCCCCTGCACGATCTCAGCACCAAGCCCAAGGCGACAAATCTCGTACCCGTACGAAACCTCCCCAGCTTGACCCAGCAGCAAACCAGCTTGACCCAGCCGATGCAGATGATGGACAACAGTCAGGGCAGGCCGACGTGACCAATGGCTCTGCACAGCACGAAACCCGTACCCGTACGGACGACCCCGGCTTGGTCGATCCTGGGCCTGTGCACTCAAACTGCGAGAGCCAACCTATCCTGGCCGTCATCAAGGATGACAGTTAGAAATTAGTTGCAGCGGGCCCGCCAAGAAAGAAGCGATCGGTGTACTTTGTGGGCAACTTGAGCCCCGACTGTACGGTGGACAGCCTCACTGAGTTTGTACACCATAGGTCGGAAAGCGTGGGGACGCCTGTCAAAGCCCACCAATGCAGCCTACACACAGCCGGAAACGGGCAAGTGTCCGCCAAGATATCAGTTGATGCCACCTGCAAGCTGACATTGATGTCAGCCAATTTTTGGCCAAGGCCGCTCTACTCCAGGCCGTGGAGATTCCACACCTCCACAAATGCAAATGCGGCCAAAAGCATTGGCAGCAGCAAGAGCAGCAGCCACAACAATCACAACAACAGCAGCAGCAGCAGCAACAACGCCAACAACAACACCAGCAGCAGCAGCAGCACCAGCACCAGCAGTCGCCGCAGCAGCACCAGCAGTCGCCGCAGCAGCACCAGCAGTCGCCGCAGCAGCACCAGCAGTCGCCGCAGCAGCACCAGCGGTCGCCGCAGCAGCACCAGCAGTCGCCGCAGCAGCAGTAGCAACAGTAGCACCAACCAGCCGGAAGCACAGCAGCATGATCAAGAGCAACAGCAACTTGAGATTGGCGCGACAATTAACGATTTCCTGAGCGCGAGTCATGGCCTGTCCGCTGCCACTGCCGGCACACCTGTAACCCCCCCCCCCCCCCCCCCCAACCCTTCACAGCTACAAACGTTCCTCTGCAGAATGGTCACCAGATTCGCTGCCGCAGGATGCAAAGTGAGCTGACCAGCATGGTGCGCAGCCACCCCAGCAGGATACACAGACCCACGAGCCCACCACCCAATGTAGGCCATGCACCGACCCAAACAACGCCAACGGTCACAATGAAAACTAAGGCCCGCTCACTCCGTCTTCTGCGCACGGAAGCATTCAGCATCTACAACAAAATGGATGAGCTTCAGCATACCCTGAAAAGCCTGCATGTAGACATCGGTGTCGTCACCGAGACCAAACTATCACCCGACAAGGCTACAGTTGCGGAATTCTCAATCCCTGGCTATTACCCCCAATACGTCGACACCGGACAGCGCAAGGCGGCCGATTCGCCATTTGGCTGAAAGAAGGGATGGCGTACAAACAACTGGACATCAACTCTGAGTGTGAAACTCTTTGGATTAGTGTTGCTGCACCGCCAGGCATGAAATTTGGCATCTGTGCTGCCTACAGACCTGGGACGAGTGCAGACAGCGACTGCAGTATCTTCACCCAGCTGGAATCTGACATCGACAAAGCCCGGCAGTCCTGCTCACACATTATTGTGGCAGGGTACTTCAATGCCCACAACCGGGAATGGCTCGGAAGTCCACGCACCTCGGCTGCTGGAGAAGCTGCAGAAGACATGTGTTGTGTACATGGACTCCGATAACACGTCACCTCAGCCACTCGTGGAGAAAACATCCTTGACCTCGTCATGTCAGATGTGCCTGGAACTGTGTCTACCACCACCCAACCACCTCTTGGCAGATCAGACCATGTTGTTGTCATAGCCGACTTCCAGCTTACTGCATCTGTAGACCAACCCACCACTCGTACAGTATGGCGATACCAGCGGGCAGACTGGCCCTGCCTCTCTGCCTTCCTTCGGACTACTGACTGGGACACAATAAT